AAGCTTATACTTTAATGGCTTGCAAAAATATGCTTTTTCAGGTTGACCAGTTGCTCCTATTACTGTAACATAATCCTTCCCCACAGGTCCTGAAGTCTTATTCAAGGCTGAATATGTTGCCCCCATGTCAACCAGAAATTCCACCTCTTTCCCTTTGTCCCCCAATTTCAGTTTTATAACCAGTGGATCTTCTGGGGTGAGATCTACTGGTCCTCTTCAATCTTCTTTCACATATGCAATAATTTTTCCTTTATCCTGGTCTCCCTTTTCCTGGTCTCCCTTTTCCTGGAAGCCACCCTATCTCCACTCTTGGCACTGATTTTTCCAGTGACCATATTTCTTACAGATTGCACACTGGTCTCTGCCCAGCCGGGAAGGGCCTTGTCTATGTGATCCCTATCCACGTTTTCCTCCCTTTCCCTCACTTACAACAGCTACAAACTTCCTCATTCCTTGTTTGTATCCTTCTTCCCAGTTACTAAAAACTCTCCACTCCTCATCCAACGAAGTCTCTAAGTTCCTCCCATCTGTCCCCCGAAGCTTTTGAAGTTTACGTCTTATGTCACCCGTAGACTGCCCCAGGAATAAATTAACTAACTGCTGTATCCCTACTTCAGACCCAGGGTCCAGTGATGTGTGATGGCGCATGGCATCTCTTAACTTTTTTAGGAATTCAGATGGCAACTCAGATGTCCCCTGCTTGATTGCGTATAAGGCTGACCAATTTATAGTTTTTGGGATGTCTCTTTCCATCCCCTTTGCAATCCACTCCTGATAGCTTTCTAGTTTTTTCAATTCTACTAATCTGTTTGGGTCCCACTGTGGGTTTTGGAGTGGGAAATAATCTTTCACATGCAATCGTTGGGTTTTCTAATCTTCTGCCAGATCTTCTGCCAGATCCCCTGTCGTTTTTATAATTAGTTGTTTCTCTGTCTCGGTCAGTGCATCCAATAATAATTGCATATCACTCCAATCCAGATTGTGTTGTTTTATTATATATCACAGATGTTTAGCTATGTTAACTGAATCATTGCAGTAATTTTTAGCAGCTTTTTCCCATGCCTCTAAATCAATTGTGAAGAAGGGAATTTTAACCAGTACCACTCTTCCCTCTGGTGCCACTGTCTCACACAGAGGTGCTTGTAATATGTGTGTCTGTTGTCTAGTCTGGTGTGCAATCGGAGGGGTATCTACATCCCCTGAGTCCACATCCACATCCTCATCCTCATCCCTTGCTGATCTTATATGGGGAGGCTTAAGCAAATCGTCTGCTAAATCTTGTTCCTGGGCCACAGTCTGATAAACCTTATCTGATTTTGTGCATCTTTGCCCTATGCTACTCGCTGAACAACACTGCTTAAGCCTTCCCCTCTTAGTCTTATTTTCCTTCTTCAGGGCCAATACCAGAAGGTCAGAGGGAGTCCTGATCCCACAGTCCCTCTGCCATTTGGGGTGATTTCGAAGGGAGAAAAACATATCAGCATATGATACCTTTGTCCACTTCCCTTCCCTCCTGAGAAAAAGCACGAGTTGTAATAGCATGTTATAGTCCAAAGTTCCACTAGGTGGCCACCTCGCTCCCTCATCCAATTTATATAGCCACCACCAGTTTTTACAGAATCTGATTAAATTCCTCTTGTTCTCAGTTTCCCCATGTCCAGCAATATCTTTCCAATGTGCAAGAATACAACCTAGCAGACTCACTTTAGGGATTTCTTTACTTTGTCCAGTGCCCATTATTTACTCCTTGTCCTGTCCCGTTTCCACCCAAACTTTTCCTCACACAATTCCACTGTCTCTTCCCAATACTCTTCTCACACACAATTGCAATCTGTGGGCACCCAATGTGACTTTCCACACACAAACCTCAGAGTTTTCACTTTGCACGTGGAGCACATGCCCTGCTGGTTATTAAAGCAACACCAGTGTCTACCCATGGTTAAAACAAATATTAACCACTTCACACTCAAGCACAACACTCCTCATTTTACACTTGGGTTTGCTCCACACTGACTCCAGTCACTTTGCTTTTCTCTGGCCGCCTCAGCCGCCCGAGGTTGGAACCGTGGATAGAGCTCCACACTCGCTCTGAACCTCTGGTGTGTCTCACTCGCTCATTCACACCACCAAACACACTCAGTGACTCAATGTGTCCAGACTTAGCATTCACACAAAACAAGGGTTCGCTTGACTCACCCCCAGAGTCGCTAGCAGGCTGCCCTATCAGCTCAGCGAGAACCCCCCTCAGTCGGCTGCGCCAGAATCAATCCCTTTCTCTCTGTTTCCGGCTCCTTCTGGCCAGCTGCTTGCAAGCCCACCGGGACTATGCTGTACGACAGACGTCTCTGCTCACTTTACCAGCAGCCTTTCCCTTGATATTCAATTCATACCTTTGTCTGCAGGCCGGCAGGTTGTTGTCTGTCCCTGCAGTGAGCGAACCAAGGTTCGGGTCCCTCCTGGAAAAGTCCTGGGGACCCGCCAGGGAATCTGTTCCTCAGCCGCTCCCACAGCCAGACAGAGATTCTCCTGGCTGGCTCACCAAAAATGATTTGCAGATAGAAAGAACTCTATAACTTGCAGAGTAGTTATAAGAGTAGGTATGAATTTATCCAGCACTGAGGTGCATGTGGGATATCTCCTCCAAAGGCATGCACCCTTGGAGACTTGTTTCTCCCTTTTTATTCTCTACAAAGTAAGATTACAGAGTACACCTAATACATATTCATTTGCTAACCCCGCCTGTCCCTGCTTAGTATTAGAATTAGTTCTACGCTTATTTGCAGCTGCACACTGCTCCTTGTTGGTCACTCTGGTGGTCTTCTAGGGGTCTTTGGGGCTGAAGTCAGCATTTTTCCTTCAGCTGAACTTTTTACTTTGTCTCCTCGCACCTGCTCCCTTTAGTTCTTTTGACGCCCCCTCTTTCCATTTCCTCTGGCTTAGGGGTCCAAAAGAATCCAAGGAAACCCCTCATCCTATGGCACATTTAGGCTTGTATCTTGTTTACATATTCCAGCTCCTTACCTTATCCTATAGTCTTTATTCTCTTCTTGCTATTATGGGAACAGTCAGCATTTCACACGGGTTTTGTAGCCCCTTCTTTTACGCAAAGCAATTTTATAAATGATTCCTAATTCTGAATTTCTCTGTTTCAAAGGGAGGAAACTGGAGTTCCACCTAGTGTCATTTGTAGTATCAACCACTGTAAAGGCAGAAAGGTCAGAGTGAGGAAGAGTGGTTCTCTATGGATGCTAACTCTGAAGCAGGCAGCATAGTGCCTGTGAAATTACAGGCCACATAATTTTCTCAGTCTTGCCTGGGAAAGTGGCTTGGGAATCATAAGGAGGAATTAAAACAATCCTCAGAGATAGAGAACAGCCTTGCAGGTGCTGTTTGTCTGTTCCTTGTTTTCTTGCAAGAGAAAGTCGAGAGGTGGTGAACCCCACTGACCAATGATGGTGATGTGTTAGTTTACTAACCAATAAAAGTTTTCTTTTCTGTACTTTTCACGTATCGGTCTATAAAAAAGACCTGAGGTGATAAACAGAGAGAAAATTCTCCAGTTCAACTCCACAAGAGAGTCTGTGTCGTTCTTCTCGCCGCTCCCAATAGAGTGACAGTTTTCCTTCATCTTTTGACAACCACTCCTCACTAAAAATGACCATCTCCTCAATTCAGGGAACCAATCATGCAGGCATAATGATCTTTTAAACTCATTACTGTGTGTTGTGGTGAGGGTTCAGTTTGCTAGCTAAGTTAAAGGTTTTTGTGTTTGCTTTTCCCTTTCGGGGTCCTGCTGCCGCCTGCGGCCCAGGGCTTCTGCTTCCGCAACTGAAGCTTCCACTGGGTTCACCACCTCCCCGCCCGCGCCACTGCGGGGGACCCGCTTCTTTGTCTCCGGCCTCCGGCCCACCGGCACCAGCCCACTGGCCCTGGCCCACCCCACCACACTGTGCTGCCCTGCCGCCCGGCACTGCCTCCCGCTGCTCCTGCCAGCCCTGCACTGCTCCCGGAGGGACTGGAAGAATGAAAAAGCACCACCAGGGTGCCTCCGCCATTTCAGGCCGTGCATTTATGCTTTGCCTGTGTCCCAGCCAAAGCAGTTCGGGCGGCTCGGTCTCGCCCCCTCCCCCACCACCGCTCCACCGTGCTTTTCCCCACCGTTGGAAATTCCATAATCCTCAGAAGTTTATTACAGAATTCACATGTTTGCTACTGCTTATCTTAACCTGTCTGTACCTGATTTGTAGAAAGTTTATATGCCCACCGGCTCTTTTTCCTGATTGGTTCTCTCGACTTCCAGTCCCCAGAGGCGTTAACCCTTTAAAAAGAGACAGTCAGAACCCCGAGCTTTGTCCTTTCTTCCGGCTTTACCCTTGCAGAATAAATCTGTGAATTGCAAAACCGGAGAAAAGTCCCCCCTGCTTCTTTGCCTGATCCATGGACTCGTGTTCAAAGTAGGGCTGGAAACTCTAATCCTAGTCAGGACTCAAACAGAAGTCCTGGCCCAGACCCCTCCTGCCCCACGCTGGAGATGAGAAGAAAAACTATCTGAGCTAGTCCAGAAATCTCTGGCTCGGGTCAACTATGTATTTTAATACGAAGCAGAGAATGGGAGGTGTTAGCATTTTGAATATGTATTAGTATTTTGGATATTCAAGACTTTTGTAAATAGACGCTGGAATCTTTTGTGAACTTGCAGTGTGTATTAAGGAGACTATCCCAGCACTAGCCCAGTGCCGAATAAAAATACATTCTCTAACTTTAAAGCGTTAGGGGGTCTTTTGTCCATCAACAGATTGATATTGATACTAGATCGATATTGATATTGGTAAATAATTTGGCGAGCCAGCCAGGAGATCTGCTCTGTCTGACCAAGGAGCCATTGGGGTTGTGGATCCCTCCAGGGCACCCCCCCGAATTTTCCTGGGGATAGGGCTCCACTGCCCCCAACTGACCACCTGGGGATAGACCAGGACTTGCCGAAAAATTGAAACAGGTACCTCTGAAGGAGTTGTAAGGTGTACGCAGAATCAGAAGGCGGTCGAGAGAGTCCTCAGAAACATCTTATGCACAACAGATGCCTGTGTGGTTTTGTTTGTAAGTTTCCATGGAAATCTGGTATCAGGAATCTGTGCTCTAAGTTGAGAGTGGTAGAAGCAGCTAACAGTGGTGTCAGCCACCAGTGATCTGTGTTCCAAGCTGAGACGGGGCTCAGCAGAGTGATCTGTGTCCTGAGCCAAGAAGGGCTTGGGCGACTGCCAGTAGTCTGTGTTCCAAGCCAGGAAAGGGCTTGAGCAGTGGGGCCCGCAGCCATAGGTTCTGTTTGTGGTTCAGCTATGTGGCAGTGGCAGCTGTGGACTTTTTTAGTAGTTTGGCTGCATCCCGAGTTGCGGAGGTTCAGTGACCAATAGCAGCAGCTGCTGCTCACATGCACTCGGGCTGTGTATGTGTATTGGTGGATGGATCTTTGTTTTGGTGTGTGCTTAAAGATGATGTGCGGATTAGTGATGTGTTGTGTGTATTTTGTTTTTTAAGTGCTTGAGCTGTGTGGTGATAGTTTTCTGTGTTTTCTTGGATCGCATGTTTTTAAGGCTTGTTGGTGGTGTATTGAGTGTGTTTTGGCTTGTGTGTATTTGGACTATGGGAAAGAATTGTAAAATACGCATTTAGACCACCGGAGAGATCTGCAGTGCACCTCGGCCATAGACCGCTGGATTCTCAGCTCAGCTTTGGAGGGCCCTTGACTGGGTGCTTGTTCTGAATTGTGGGATGGCCTGCAGCTGTTCTGTGCAGCTCTGGGATTGCTAGCACTTGGGGTTGCGTCCTGGTGAAACTGAAGGTTGCTCCTTGCTACATGAAGGGAGTTGGTGGCCCAGGGCTTACGTTCAGTGCCAGTGGAGGGATCCAACCCGTGGCCCTGGAACACACCGCAGATACAGTCCACAGGGCACTCCGCACGATTCTAGACCAGGTAGCAGTGGTGGTTTGTGTAGTTTGGGGAAGCAAAATTTTGCTTTATTATTTTGTGTGAGTGTCCTGCGTGGCGAGCAAAAGTACACGTTTGAGACATGCTGTTAGCATGAAGTGAGTGTGGTAGTCCAGATTCCATGGTTCCACTCCAGGTGACCACGAGTGGCTAAATGTGGACCTGATTTTCTCTGAGCCTGAGAGAATTACAGCCTGTCAGTGGCTGATCTGTTCCCAAGGGAAAGTTTCTTGGGAGATCTTGCACTCAAGGACAACATTTGTAAATCATCTTGCTTTCTCAAAACAGTTCTACATAACTGTAGATAGCGTGTTTTTCACTTGTCCCACCAATGGGACAAGAGGTGGTGTTCCCTTGACCAATCATGTTAACCCTGTAGCGTAAGACCCTATAAAAGCTAAAAAGTTGAGAGAATAAAGGCCCTTTTTCCTAGCAACTCGTTCTGGTGTGTGCTGTGAACCCACACTTCTACATCGTGTCCACAGCGACAGTTGGAGAAGGACAAAATATTTGGGGGTGGTTTTGGTTCTTTGCATGCAGCCCTTATAGATTTGAATAAAAAAGAGGCTTCCCCTCCCAGTGGTGTGGTGTGGTGAGGAACACTGCCATCTTGTGTCAAAAGCTATTATTGTACATATCTCAGTTTAGTTTACTGTTAACCATTTCTTCCTTTTAGTTAGCTATTTTTAAGCTATTAGGCTATTTGTCTTTTCTTTCTATTGGTAAGCTTACATGCCTAGGAATAGGAGACAGAGAGAATATGGTCTGAAGGAAGTTCCTTGTCCAAGGGAAGGGTGCCCTTGTAACCCTTGGATAGTATTTCACTGTGTAGCCTACCAAGACCTGTGGGTCCGACGAGTATTTGGATGGAAAATACCCAAGTCAGCTTGTCACCTCCATCATTCAGAGGAAGACAAGTCCACTCAGGCAGCTATATGGATTTTAGTGGAGACTGGTCAGGAGACGCATGGGAGCAATAGGCAGTTTGAGTTATTGTAGAATGGAATTTCAGGTACTCTAAAGAAGCCAGTAGAAATTCTTAAGGTTGGGTCTGCTTGATATACTTTTGTACCGGAGTATTACCTTGTAAAACTCTGGAGTTGGGACAAAATTAAAAAGCGTTGAGAGAAGAAAAAATTTCATCATGGGGACAAGTGAGAGCAAAGAAATTCCTAAAGGGATGTAGCTTGGGATGTATCTTTACACATTGGAAAGAGCTGGTGTGTTATGATGGCACAGAAAGTAAAAGGGAGCTTGTTAAGTTTTGTACACAATGGTAGCCACTCTATAGACTAGAAGACCACCAGACTAGACTTCTACCAGCCAGAACCCTAAATTATAAGACCCTATTACAGCTAATGTTCTTTCTTAGGAGAGAACAGAAATGGCAGGAAATGACTTGTGCTGATATATTCTTCACTCTTCGGAATCATCCCAAGTGGCAAAGAGATTATGGGATTAGGGCACTCTCTGACCCCTTGGTATTGGCTCTTGAAAAAGAAAATAAAGTTAGCAGGGGAAAACCCAAGCAGTGTTGCAGTGCATGCTCAATTAATCAGAGATGCACACATCCTGGTGCACACGATATACCAAACAGAGGTCCTGGAACAAGAACTGATAGATTTACTTAGACCACCCCCTAAAAGGCAGGAAGGGGGAGGAGTGGTAGAAGAACTAAGTTCAGAATTGACATCAACTCCAGCCTCAACCCCCACTTCACCCCCTGCTTCATCCCCTTTAGGGAGAACAGTAATTGAAACAGGGGCCTCCACACCAACTCCCAATCTGTGAGAGCCATCTAAACAGTAACCATCATTACCTAGCAGTGACAGTGAAGAGGGGGGACCCTCCCCACAAGGCCCTATAGCATCTAGAACTCAGAAACAAACTAGGGAAGTTATACAGGCACCTCTGAGGCAAGCAGTAAGCCCAACCAGAACGTTAGTTAAAGTTCCCTTTTCTACAATGGATTTAGAGGCTTGTGAAAAGATTGGTAAGAACTATCAGAGTGATCTCATAGGAGTTGCTAAGAAATTGAGGTTTATGATTAAACAACATCGACCTGACTGGGCAGATATCCAGTTATTGCTTGATGCTTTAACAGAAACAGAAAAGCAGCAAGTTTTGAAAACAACAGGAGATTTGGCAGAAACCTTCCATAAAATAAGACAAGAGTATATTAAGGATTTTTTTTCTCTCCAGGACCAACTATGGGATCCAAATGAAGAGGAGGAGATGGAAAAATCAGAGAACTATCAAGAATTTATAATAAAAGGAATGGAAAGATCAATCCCTAGAGCCATAAATTGGCTTGCCCTATATGCAGTAAAACAAAATCCTTCTGAATACCCTTCGGAATTCTTAGACCATTTGCGAGATGCAATGCACAGTCATACATCTTTAGATCCTGAATCTGAGGAAAGGATACAGCAGTTAATAAACTTATTTTTTGGGACAGTCCACAGGAGAAATTAGATGTACACTTCAGAAAATTTGGGGGCAATGGGGCAAGATTTAGAGACTTTGCTAGATGAAGCATGGAGTGACATGGTGCTGGATTTTCCCTAGCCAGCTCCTGGCACTGAGCCAAGAGTGGGCTCCTCCTGGAAAGCAGGGCAGCTTAGGGCTTACGCTTCTACGGAACTGGCTTTCCAGCATCGAGGGCAGCAGCAAGGATGAGGGAGAGGTCTTCCATGTGGCTTCCAAAAGGGTTTTATTCTCTTGAAGGTTCCAGGGATGAAAGACAAAAGATACAGGGCTACAGCAACTTATATATGAGGGAGGAGCAAGGGGAGAGTACAAATAATAAACCAGTGGGGAAGACTTAGGGGAGGAGCACAAGGCTGGGTTACATAATACATAAACCGATGGGCAACACAAGGGGAGGAGAGTGGGCCACATGGTCCAATGGGCCTTGAAGGAATAGGGGAATTCCAAAGGGGGTGGTCCAGGCAGGGCGTTGGCACATGGGAGGATTGACAACTCAATGGGAGGGGGAACAGGGAACATTGGTATTGAGAGACCACCAGCTTATTCACAAGTCTTCACAAAAGTAAAAGTGAAAGCCATTTATTTCTATCTTTAGCACACTTCTATAGGGTTTTACAGGGTCCGCGGGCAGAGCAAGTTACTATTGGCTAATACACACAGGTTTACATTTTTTCTCCTGTACACAAGGATATTGTTTTGCTTTATTCTCTCTTCTGCAGGAAAGTTCCAAGGACTTTAGCCTTTAATATCAGGACTTATTTCAAAGACTGGTTTGTGCAGACAGGCCTTTACTAATATATAAAAGAGTCACCACAATTCCCCCTTTCTCTTTATGCACAAACCAGGCTTTGGATGCGACTCATTCTACACTTTTACACACAACTTAAAACTATCATCCCAATTGACACTATAATTAAAATCCATCCCCCTTCTAGCACAAGAGATCTTAACCAGCCAGTGATACCCCAGCTGGCGAACCAACTTCTAATGGGGTCACTATCTTCTTTCAGGGCATGTAACCCATCCTGTAGCTGTTGTAGTTGCTTATGGATGGAAACTGAATGATCAGTAAGATTCAAATAGCACATGCCTTCAAACTCCTCACAACCATGTCCTTGTGCTAAGAGCAAAAAGTCAATTGCAGCTCAATTTTGTAATACTGCATGACGTACACTGCTTACATCGGCTGAAAGTTCACTTAACATGGTTGATGTTAAGTTTAATTCTTTTCTAGTCCAGCAAGCAAGCCTTTTTAGAGTTGCTAAGCCTTAATTCATTCAGGCTTCACTTTGACTGTTTGATGTTTTTCATTTTATCAGCTACATTCAGCAATTGGTGTAAGCTTGGATGGAACAAAGTAAGTTTTCCGAGATAACAGAGTCCTCCATGTGAGCTAGCAGGAACTCCATTCCATGCTCTATCTCCACAGATTAGGAATATGGAACTAGGTAATTGCTTTGGTAATCATCCTGTGAAATTGCACCACAAATAAAAAGCTTTACTTTCAGTGTGAGTAACGAGATCAACTGTAGGGTTGACTGTTGCCCAGTGCTGCATTACTTTGTTAGAATGGCTTTTTGTCGGGGGTTCAAACATTATCCATCCACCTGAGGTATTGGTGGAACTTAACAAATCTAAATCTTCTGTGGGCTCTATGATAACATTAAGAACTTTGATAATTTTTGCTT